AATGGAATTTGTCTGTAAACCATTGCTCTATATATTTCAGAATAGTAAGTATGGGAATCGCGAATTATAAAATATTAACAAAGAGAAACGTTTTTATGCAGTAAATAAAGTACATGAAACTAAAGTGTTTATTGTTGAAATACAACCTGGAATTCCTATAAGCGTAGAACTCGTTTTTAGAACAACACAATATACCAACCAGAATCTTTCGTTAACAACAAAACAAGTACAAAGAGGAATATGCAGAATAATAAAAAACATATATAGAAAATCATAGAAATTATTTTAGGTAATAATTTATTAGTTCTAAAAATTAATAAAAAACATTATTAAAATTGGTGACAGGTGTATTAATAGCGCTCAGAGCATTTTTTAAGTAATGATAATCACACTACGGAATAAATACTGCAAAGTAATGAAACAATCATACAGGCAGTCTAAATAACGAATGCAATAGCCTTTGTTATAACATTTTAAAAAGTTGTTTTTTATTCATTCGACCTATATTAGTAATATTTACAATAGCAAACATAACAGCTAAATGAATCAAAATGGTATTCAGTTTTATTATTACGCTTTTATTTTTATTAAATAATAGCTATGATTGACAAGCAGTCAATATGTTTGTTTTAATTTCCATTTGCTCTCAATGTGACTATAGTATCAAAATAGAGAAAAAATATATAAGCTTATTCTAAGCTTTTGGTAATTTAATAGACATTTTACCACATTAGCTTTCATGGCTTAAAATCATTCAAAGAATAGAATAGTTCAAAAAAAGCTACAGCAAATAATTTCAAATATTTCTAGGCATAATTGATATTATTATAAACGTTTATAACTTAATACTACATGCGGGGTCCCCGACTGGGGTCAAAATAAGAGAGTTAAACCTAGCCCAGCATATAACATCAGTTTGTATGCTCACCGCTAAAAATGTCCTGTCAAGGACTCACCCTTCACCATCTCCAAGAGTATAGGTATTTCAAGAGAAGAATGATGAGGAATATGAAAGTTTCCAGATTTACTATAAAACTCTGTCATTGCAAGCTTCGTCCCAAAGCTATCAGTAGTAATACACAAACGACCTAACCTTTGCCTTTGGTTGACAAAAAATTTGTAACGGCGTTATATTGCTGCACTTTTGTTAGGAGTCCGAATTTCCTTACAAAATCAACTTTAAGATACTAACTAATAATTTAATAAGGTTGGTGAATTTTAAGAATACATGATGTAAAGTTGGAATCAAGGTTAATGGACGCTTGTTTTTTTACATATGACTCGGAAAAAGTCACATTGGTACTTGCCAGAGCCAGGATCGAACCCGCGCTCTCGTGCATGAGAGGCGGGCCTTTTAACCACTAGGCCACCACTGACTTTTTTGATATCTCGTACTCGGCTCAAATCAAAACCAAAAATAGACAACTATACAGTTCCATTCTTCATACTTCATCAGACAACATACCGCAACCCAATGAATCAGTTGGTGGGAAGAAGTTAATTAATCCGGTAACTGATATTATGGTTTCCCACTGAAAGGTTCATATTGGAAAGTTTTAGGCGAAAGTTGTACCTTAAAATAATAATAAAAACTTAAGAATTCAAATTCTGAAGAAAAGATGTTTTTTTACGCCTTCGCATTGTTTTTCTATTCTATACATTGTTCTGAAACCAATGTTACCGTCTTTTGAATTCGTAAAAATTTAAAATTCCGGTTCAATCCAGTTGGGTTACTATGAGCAATCAGTTAAATTATATTTTTTGTACATTTTATTTGTTGATATGACCAGAAAGACAAAGTGACAAACATAATACAAGAGCTTCTAATGTTTTACGTATGTATAATGTATACACCAAAGATATTACAAGAAGACGAAAAGACAATTCTGTGAATTAATTAAAAAAAATACAAAAAAGTGTTATTTTTTAACGTTTTTATTTGTTAATGTAAATTTGTATAAATATTTTTGTTAATGGCAAATATGGACGGTTTTATTAAGTTTATCTACAATGTAGGTTCTAATTTATATAAATCAGAAAAGATATTTAATGCATTAATGATTAATCCGTAATTTGAATCACAATATATTAACAAATATATTTACCCTTAATATAATATATTTAAACTGTGCGTTTCTCTTCGAAGCCAAAAGTATTTAGGTAAGGGGGAATTAGATAATTAGAAACAAAAACAGCCTTCAAAACAATTGCCGTTGTTATATTAATCTTTATATATAAAATTTTTCTTTGAGTGTGTATGTCACTGAACTTCTCTCAAACGACTAGACCGATTTTGATGAAATTTTTTGTGTGTGTTCAAGGGGATCTGGGAGTGGTTTAGATTTACAATTTTGTCCGCTGGACAATATTTTTTCAATAAATTTTTAATTTATTAGTAGTTGTTGATACAAACGTTTTTTTTGACATTACATTTGAAAACCAACTAATATGTCAATCATTCTGTCGCACTTCAAAACACGGAGATTTATGGCTTTAATAGGTAAACTCCAAAAATATAAATAAATAAAACGTAACAGATATTTCTTGATTATAGGACGATACGAAGTTCGCTTGGTCTTCTAGTAATTCTATATTTTTTTTAATTATAAAAATCATTTTGTAAAATAAGCTATTAAAAGAAGATAAATTATGATTTATATATTATTTGTTACCATTCTATATTTATTGGGACTTGTTTGAAAAGTGAAATATGTTTATGAAAATTGGTACATATAAGAAGAAAAATAATAAATAGTAGATGGACAAAAGGAACGATGTACGATAAATTTAAGCGTTCACTACTTTGTATCTCTTATAAAATAGATGTCGTAAAATATATTGACTTTCAACTTTAGTCTTTTCAGCAAACCTTTCAAAAATTCTTGTGGTTTATGTATGTTTATTCATTCATAAGACTTATATTATTCTAGTTTTTGCTTTTGTTTACGAGACGATTTTAATGAATATTTGCAGACAATTCTGATGTTATTGAAACATTATGTATAAATACATATTTACACATTGTTATTTTAACTTTGCAGGTAGATGTTTGTGTAAAATAGAATTTATAATTAAACCATTGTCAGTGAAATTAATGTTTGCCTCAAATGACTTATTCCTTTATTTATTGCATTATAAACTTTTACTTTTTAACATAATATGTTGTACATTTCAAATTATTTGCATATATTAAAATAATAGTGAAACTACTACTACGTCATATTGCTCATCTTTAAATGTAGGCGATAAATATTTGGCATATTTTCCTTTACCAAAAAAGCCTATAATAAAACTTAAAGGACTTCCTTTTACTTCATATCCGTTTATCAGTGTCCCTTTTATCTGTTCCCTTTCTCTAATCCTTATTTATTTAGTTAAATTTCAAAGCCGCAATTAATGCAAATTAAGGGGAATGAACGAAATAAATTAATAAAATTGTAGAAAGAAGTGATATAAAAGTTTTTAATTTTCAATTTATCCTACTTGTGTTTTAACTGCTTTCATTCACATTTTCTATGTCTGAGTTCAATATGATTCAATTTCAAGAAATACTTTTATCACATTCCTTATATTTTGTGCTGTTTGTTCTGTTTTTTAAGAATTGATTAAGTACTCGTGTAATCTCTGAACGTCTTTTTTGGTAAGTTTTGTTTTCATTTTAGTAAACGGTTTAAATTTTAATGAAAATTTATTTGATCAACCTGCAGTGAATACAATATTTTATTTAAATAAATTGGAATAAGAAAGTTAAAAAGAAAGTTTCTATCCATATAGAGAGTTTCTTTTTAAGAGATAGATTCAATGTACGTTTTTAATAAACCAAAAACATCCTCTCCGTATGTCTCGTACTAACTTTACTCAAATTATTGATTTACAATTAACTAAGGATATTTTATAGATAAAAAAAAAGAAGTCAATTTTTTAAATTACATGTCTCCTGTTAAATAAGCAGATTGGCTTTCCATATTTTCTAAAATAATATCTTGTCTGCAAACTATGAAGAAGTTTTAAGCAAATAATAATCATATTGTGACCTAATTAAGTATAAAACGTAATTTACGTCTATGGGTAAAATTAAGGTTTATTATAAAAACAGGAGAGATATTAAACGTAATATTCTCAAAGGACATGATGATCTCTTTCTTTATTGTATAATTTTAATTGAAAATTCAAGCTATATAACGGTGCCCTTATCAAAAGTTTGCACCTTCACGTTTCCTTTCATTAATGAACCTACATTGATGGTGTCATATCCAAAAATTTATACATTAAAACTGGAAATTTTTTCGTATACAGTGTGACTGCAGACTGAACGCCCTGGTAATGAAACAATTAGTGGACAGAATCACACATAACTAGATTACTTTTGAATAAGGAAGAGGAAGAGGTGGTAAATATTATACTTTTATAGTTTTAATATTTCGCTCCCAAATAAAATAAAATGCATTTATGAAAAAAGCAGAAAAAATACAACGTTTTTTTATATTTTTACATTTATAAATGTTTATCGCGTGTACGAGGACACAGTTACTTATGAATAAACTTATAAATTTAATTCATTTTGATTGATTTCAACATTGTAATAAAAATTAGTCTTATATTAAATTTTTGAGTAATTTACTCCCCATTATTTAGTAGGAGAAATCGTAGAAGAGTACAAACTCTGATTATAATTTTAAAAACTCCAAGTGCAGTGGGAGCAACAAATATTTATTTCTTATTTATTTAACAAATATAAGTAACATAAAACAATTTACTGCTTACGTATAATATCAAATATAAAAAAAAAATCAATCATTATTCAAATAGTCATCTTTTGAATTTGCATGTGCATAATGGTTACATAAATACAATGACCTTGAATTTTAAGCGAGTGTACAGTGTAGCAACAAGAGTTGATTGTAAACCTAATCCCCACCAAACAGTTGTAGTGCCTGGTCAATCCGGCCTTTCTCTATCTGTAGACAGTGACACAGTGACCGTGTTAGCGAAGGTTTACCATGAACCTCCATAATCTTTTAGTGTCAGTCGTAATCATGATTACGATTCCTATAAAAGTGACCACAAAAAATGAGAAACGATTGTCAAATTTAAATTTCGCTGAGAGCTTGTATGCCCAATTATCAGGAGCATGTAAGTTGTTGACCTTCGCCTTCATACTTGGATTCAAAATTTTTGTGTGAGTAATTCAATTAACCTTTTACAGGCCGAGCGTTAATGGATCTTCAGCTGAGTTCAATGAATAGTCAAAATGAAATATTGAAAACTATGAAAATAATTTTCGTAACTAAAGCGGGCTCGCGAATGTATCCCATCGACAATGCCTTTCAGAATCTCACTAGCCCTGAGTTATTTGACATAACAAAACAAACGAAAATTATTATACATGGCTATAGAGATACATCGCAGTCATCAGTATCCACAGATATTGCAAAAGCCTATATAAATAAGGAAATGTTTAATGTTCTCTTAGTAGATGCTGAGGAAATGATGAATCAAAGATACACATTATCCGTACATAATGCGAGATTAATGGGCAAAAGATTAGCAAATTTACTAGCAAATTTAGAAACTTTTGGAGCGAGCGCCGAAGATTTTCATCTCATTGGTATAAGTTTAGGAGCACACATAGCTGGATGGACTGGAAAGTACTTCCATAAGTATAAATCGCAGTTGTTGGGGCGAATAACAGGTTTAGATCCAGCAGGACCTTGTTTTTCATTTGCTTATACAGACCAAAGATTAGATAAATCAGACGCTAAGTATGTGGACGTGTTACATACAAATAGATTAGTCCAAGGGATTATTGAGCCTCTTGGCCATGCGGATTTTTACATAAACGGCGGTGGACCACAACAACCAGGATGTGTCATGCCTTCGTGTAGTCATCTTAGAGCAGCAGAAATTTATACCGAAAGCATAAATACTCCAAAGTTATTCATCGGTATCCGTTGTCAGAGTTGGCAGAATTTTAAAACAAATACATGCGATAGTAAAGATTTCGCGGTTCTGGGCTACGGTTCTTCAACCTCGACCCGGGGTCTTTATTACCTGCGTACATCGGCCGATCCACCTTTTGGCCTTGGTATGAATGGAACCAATCACCTACCTGATACTAAAACTCATAATAATTGGCTCATGGATTTAAAATACACTTGATGTTATTGGAACCTAGAAAAATAGGAAACAATTTTATTTAATTAATGCTGCTAATAATAATTAGTATACGATACGCTGTGCAACAGTATTCCCAGTACTGAAATTTTAACGCCTCTATAAAAATCACAAGATAGTTGGATAGAGTCGTTAACGAAAATAAAGTGCGTTTATAATTGCTACAACGTGGCCCAGATAAAAAGTTGTTATGTCATTGTGTGACCTGTCGACTCAAAACTCTCATTTTTGAATTGCTGATTGTTTTGTGTGCCGCAGTAAAAACTTTGTAATTTTTATTCGTTATAATAATGCAGTAAATATTTATTACCTAGACATATTTAGTATCAACTGAATACATTTATACATATATATTAATATTTTTTCAGTTAGGAAGATAAATTTATTATTGTATTGACAAGTAACAGTAATTTGCTACATTTTACTGTGATATCGTTTGTAAGTAGATAAATATGTTGAGTAAATGGCGCTGGACAGTGGACACTAACTTGTACTTTCACTATTCACGTCAGAACAAAATAAATGAATGCGATTGCGATAAAAAAGATATAGCGAATGGCACTTCCATGTTATTTTATTATCATATACGAGTATTTTATAGGTTTCATCCCAAAAACCATACTGTAAAATTTAAAAAATAGTGAGTTTGAACTCGCCTGACGTCCAGTTTATAAAAATGTGATAATTTTTACCATGACATTTTTTTGTGATTTATATTGCTCTTAATCCTACGGCTTTGACGGCGTCGCTGGGACAGAGAGTTACTTGGACAGAGCAACACTGAAGTACATCAATTCAAAATGTCAATTTAAATCATGACATTTGTATTTTCTTATTAAATTGAAACTACTTTTAACGTTTATTATATTTACATATATTTTTGCCGTTCAGTTTATACTAAGATTAGTTTTATCATAATGCTTCCCGTTACATTTTTCAACTATGAGTTGGTTTTAATACCTTTCTTAATTATTAGAAACATAATTTTCTTTGTAATAAGTGAGATAGAAATACGAAATTCTTGATTTATTTTGAAACAATCCAGTCGTTACAGCTACGCTAAATTATTGTTTGCGGTAATATTTCGTCTTAATTAATTTTGTTTAGTCTAAAAACTATAATAAAAAAATAGTAGATCTAAACAAAAAATATACATTTCTTTGTAAATCAGTTCCATGAGATTTCTAATATGTATTATTTACTTTATTATGTTTTTCATTTAACTTAAATACTCGTTTTAACACATAGATATTGGATTTTTTTATAATGGTAGTTGTCGCTACGATTGTATAAAAATAAATGTTGGGGAAAATTTAAAATTAAAAATAATTAATTTATTACTTTGTATATATTGTGTTTGATAAAAAAAAAAATATTACAGCCGTAATTTATCAGTGTTTAAATATAATATATTTTAGACCTATATATGAAACATATTTGTCAATACCTTTTTTTGTTCTAATAAGTCATTTAAACCTTTTTCATTTTCGTGTTTCATTACGAGATAACTAGATCGGATAAATGTAAGTTTAATACAGGTTCAGATATTTTTGGATATTTTTCAATACATTTTTTATATCATTATAAAAATTTGGACATGTTCAAACGAATATGAACTACTGTATTTTTAATCTATCATAAGTTGGTTATCGATAAATTTCGTAATTACTCGTTTATTAAATTATCCACTTCGCGTCAGAAAATGGATAAATCGCTTCAGGCTACTGTAATATATACAAAGCTTAATTATAAGTCGGATAAGCGTTTATGAAAGCCAGGTAACATGCATGTAATAAGCTGTATTTGAGACAAACGCTAGCACGATATGTTTAGCAATTAAAACTTATTCACATTGAAAGTTAGAATATGTTTAAATTATTATTAATTTTACATTACTCGATTGCTACAATTCCTAGAGTATTGTTTTAAGAAGAATTATATAAAATTTTTTGGTTCGGATCTATTTTACAACCATTATTTTGCCTAACTCTATAGTCAAGAACATGTAATCAATGTACAAACCAATCCCATCACAAATTTTAAAACACATTTGTTTTCAATTAAACTTATAACAGATAAAAACCTTCAAAATAAGTCAAAATTTGACCTTATCATTTTCAAAGCGAGGGTGGAAGTTTATTTTAAGATCAACAAATACAGATCAAATTAATTCGAAACAAAATACGACATGAGATATTTTCTAAGTTTAATAAAGTATATGTATGTATTTATAGGGGCAAATATAAACATTCTTACATGTTGTATTATAATATTTTTACATACGACTTCCTTATTTCGTTATTATTAACATTATGGCTACTATAAATGTTTTGAACTGTTCATTCATTGAATTCTTCTTTTAATTTATAAGTTACTCATTAACTACCTCATATTTAATTGCATTTATCAAATAATAGCTATAGGACTGTTGAAGGGATAGCTTTTATTTTTTTAGCAGGAGCTTGGTTATAAATATATTATTATGTTCTACGCTAACCTTGATTTAAAGTTTAATCCAGATTTTAATAAATTTCTTAATTTTTATTGTTCGTCATTGTCAGTACTAAAAATTATATTATTATTTAAATTTCAGTTTTAAAATGATCCTCAGTATTTAAATTCTATTATATTTAATTGACCCGGGCTACGGGGATTTAATAATGTAAATGTGATATGATAAACATTAAATGTAGGAATTAATTTAATAATAAATTATTATTTAAAGTTTATGAAATTTTATAATTAAAACCCTAAATGTTTGGGCATTTTAACTTCAAACTAGATTACCAAAACTTGAAAGAGATGGAAATTGATGTTATAAAAGATGTATGTACAAACTTTATTAATTAATATTTGACGGCATAATTATTTACGGCTTCGACTGATTTTCTAATTTTTAATCTTCCTTATCCTGCTGGGTGTAATGGAATTGTTTTAATAGCAATACTACAGTTATTGTTCGGCATAGATTATACAGTTGTAATAGTAAAGTAGCATTGGAACTCTGGGTTTAATAGACGACATAGAAAGTAATCCGGCTAGTATCCGGCTAGTACCGGTTATAGTACATGTTTTTGATGTCAGAAAAATTAAGAAGCGTTTACAAAGTATTAGGAGATATGTGTAGATATTTTCTAATGCATTTCTCAACACCAGTGATTCGATTCAAGCAATACTTGAATAAGATTACTATCAAGTAAAACTTGTATTTGATAGAATATCTAACTTAGAAAATGATTAAAAGTGGAAGTATATCTTAGAAAATTTATTTCTACTGGTTATTTACGCTTTTTTAGAGTAAATGTATATAATATAATCTTCTTTGTTTACGTACAATTATGTAGAAATACGAAAGGTATTTCTGTTTATTACTGGTCTTTTTAAATTATTTTTTTTTTGATAATTATTATCACCCTTATTACTTCAATTTGAATTATTATTTATCAAAGTAAAGTGTGCGTGATTGTGCGTCTATGGCATAGTAACTCTCGAACTGTAAGACAGATGTCAATGTGGTTTTTATCATATAAAAAAGACAGTTTTCATTAGGTGCTTCTTAGTAATGTTACGATTATTTTAGAAAATACTGTATGTAATTTTGGCCTATCATTCCTCACCGCAAATATTTCAGTATAATTTTTCAATGAACACTAATACATTAAGGGATTTTGCTAAATTGTAATAACATTTTTAGTTACTGTTCTGATGAAGAGTTAACCTTGACTTAAAACTAGTTTTATATTCTGTAAATCTTTAACAATAATTGTCTCTAATTTAACTGGGTTTTATTCAAACTCATAGCGATAATAGTCTACTGTTTATTTTTGTTATACAATGTATACAAGTATATACTAGGTGCTATGATCAAGTAGTATTTTTTTACGGACTCAAAGCTATTTAATAAAGAACGAGCATTAAGTCCTCTACAACGACTAGCTCTGAGTTCATTCTAGCTATTTGCTTGGTTTTATGGCCGTGTCCAAACTACTATAAAAACGAAAGGTATGTCATGTTGCTTAAAAATCAACCAGGGGCTCATTGTGTTCGTGTTTCTTTTAGTTGACACGGTCATAACGAAATAGAAGCGAGTCTGCATCTGCTCTTCTTCCTCTCGATCGCAGCAATTGGTATTGCAGCCCTGATGCCATGACTTTGTGAATAATCAAGAATCAACCCTGGTGTACAATATTGTGGTTTCCATGCCGTTACAGTACAAATAAACAATAAAAGTTGATGTTACGATAACTTCTACGCAAACACGGTCATTATCGTGGGTCGCAACTTTCGCCGTCTACTGTTCAATATCTATAAAAGTCTATAAAATAGAAAATAAGTAAAGTTTAGGAAGAACTAAACTCGTTTATAAGCACTATGAATTTGAGAAATAGATTTATGCCTATACATCAATTTCTGGTGTGCGATTCAGGACCTAGATTAATATTATCAAACAAAAACTTTATGTACCATACGTAAGCCTTAGGTTGCCAGTTTGCATATTCGTCATACAAGCTCAAAAGATTGAACTGTCTACCATTTTTTGACTAACATCAACACCTATCCAACCGTCTTGAATAGACGAGAATTTAATAATTTAATTGCACCATCTTTTCAACGCTTGTCAAAGCGTCTCTTCATTTGTTCTTAAGCTACACATATATAAAATACTTAAATCATGTTATATAAAAACTTATGTATTAAAGCAACCCGGATCAAAATGAGCAAATTGCGACGTTCAATAATTCAATGGAAAATAAAAAATATTACATAATACCACGCATTCAATCTTAGCGTCATTCGCACTTACATAATTATTTGATCTTTCTTAATAACTATTATAAGAACCTGATTGCAATTGACTAACTACTATGAAACTGTAATTTATTGTTTATATGGTAATATCGCTAGGAACCAAAATTCCCGACGTATTCTCAAACCTTCGCGGCAGAGTTCAACGTTCAAACCTTGAACGCTTCTTCTGTCTTCGG